CACAAAATGTGCACCTGGTGGCTGTGATTCAACCACCAATGCACAGCCCCTGTGCTTTCTTGACACTGAGCCCAGCCGATACTGCCAGTCCTCCAGGGATAACCAAACCATGGTTTTTGTGGCTGGAGGTCTCACTGCAACAGCCCTCCCAACCCAGAACTCCAGGCCACCGGTTTTCATGGCTCTGCAGCTTCCAGTGAGGTGGGGAGCCAGCCACCTCAAATGTCTACCGATTCATCTGTTCATCCGGGATGAGTGGTGCCACAAGACGGTCTGGCATTGTGGATTGGATTGTCTCCCCACCACCCAAAATTCATAATTACGCCCTGACCACAGTGCATCAGAATGCAGTCTTTACAGTCACCACAGATGTTGCCAGTTAAGACAGGAATACACCAGCGTAGGCAGGGGTGCCCTGGTCCAATGTGACCGGGATCCTTATAAAAAGGGGAAAGAAATTTGGAGACAGATATGTACACAGGGACAACACGTGAAGATGAAGGCAGAAATGGGGGTGATGCTTTTTAAGGAACATTAACCACCAGCAACCCCCAGAAGCTGGGGCAGAAGTGTAGAACAAACCCTCCCTTTCAAGGAACCAATGTGCCACCCCCTTGACCTTGGACTTTCAGCATCCAGAAACGAGACAATACATTTCTGTTGTTCTAAGCCACCTGTTTTTCATACTTTCTTAAGGCAGCTCTAGAAAAAGAATATGAACAGCAGCTAAGTTAATGTGTATGCAGAGCATGACCTCAGCCCCTCGCCCAGACAACAGAACTCCTTACTGGGCCTGACCTCCCCATTGCAGGACACAGTGGCGCAGGCAGGGGAACTTAAGTGCCTCTCACATGATGACAACTGTTTTCACCCCACACCATTTACCGGGACCTTCAGGGTACACAGAAATGACATTGGGCAGGGAGGGGCACAGAGTTTAAAATAGGGTATTGCCCTCAGTGACCTCACAATCCCTAATAAGCAGCCACCATCACGAATAAACGTAGGACACAGTTCCCCTGCACAAGGAGCTTACAGTGCCCTGGGGGGGACGGGGTTCCAACCCTGAAAGAAATGCTACACAACAGCGTGCACTCCTGGGGCCTGCTGGCAACATGGCCTGTCAGGCGTGCCAGGCCCTGCTCCCCAGAGCCTCTCTCTAGCCACTACCTGTCCACAACTTCTTGTTCTCAGATGGGAAGTGGTTACCCTGGAACCTCAGGATGGGGGCGGGTGTTCAAACAGGGCTACATGACAATGAAGTGAGTTGTGGCATGGGATAGACTCCAAGGGGTGACCTCAGTTGGAGCGGCCCAGTCCCACCGCCCACTTGGGAAGCACTGAACGATCTCTCTAGGACCCAGAGAGACCGGGCTGGTCCAACCTGGTTATGCGCCTCCCTCCCTGCTTTTTGGCACAGCAGAGACAGAAGAAAAGCTCAGTTGGCCACTATCTCATTTCTACCTGAGAGCAAAGGGCGGGAGGATGAGGTGTGTCCCGGGGCAGGTCCATCCTGGTCCTGGGAGGGTCTGGCTTCTGTCAGTAGGAGTTGAGCGCCTGCTTGGAGCGGCGCTTCATGTGTAGGCGCTGGTGGCGCAGGAGGTCGGAGTTGTGCAGGAAGGTTTTGACGCAGTACCGACACCGGAAGGGCCGCGCCCGGTCCTTGCTGTGTACGCTGCTGCGGTGTCTTGCTAGGTGTTCAGGCCGCTGGAACAGCTTACCACAGTCAAAGCACTGGGCGCTCAGCCGGGCCCTGCCCTCGGCCAGTGGTATGTCCGGCCCCGCCGCCCCCTGCTCGCTTCCCATCACAGGCCGGGGCCCCGAGGGCGCCAGGTGGACACGCCTGTGGCAGAGCAGGTGGGAGTTGAGGCGGAAGCTCTTCCCGCATGCACCGCACCTGAAAGGTTTCTGGGCCTCGTGGGCCTCTAGGTGCCCGTCTAGGTCCTCACTGTCACTGAACAGTTCCCCGCAAACTGAGCACTCGTGCAGTTTCTCCTGCTCCCTGCGGCTGCGCAGGTGCCGGATGAAATTGACCCTCCAGCGAAAGACCTTACCACAGTTGGGGCACACGTAGGACTTCCCTGAGGTGTGCACCTCACCCCCAAGTGGGGCACCATTCTGCTGCGGGGTGGGGGCGCCAAGCTGCTTCCTCCTGGGGCTCCGCGGCTCATCTGTGCAGTAGGGGCCTAGCTGGGAGTCCTCGTCCCCAGAGCTGGACAGAACGATCTCGATGGTCACCTCCTCATCCCGGCTGTCCTTGGGGGGTGCTGAGTCACCTCCCGCTATAGGAAAGTGATGAGGAGGTCACATAGAGTTGATGCTGGAATAGGTTATGACATTGGAGGCTGTGGGATGAGGGTGGATGTATTTTGCATGTGAGAAGGACATGAATTTGGGGGACCAGAGGATGGAATGTTAGGAGCAAAATTACATACCCTAAAGATTCTTATTATGCTAAAGTCATAACCCCATATACCCAAATAGGATATCTGGAATTCAGCTCTTTCAAAGGTAATTAAGTTAAAATGAGATCCTTAGGGTGGGTCCTAATCCAACCGGCATCATTACTAGAAGAGATTAGGACACAGACATGCAGAGGGACAACCGTGTGGAAGCACAGGGACAGGACGGCTGGCCATCTACAGGCCAAGAAGAGAGGCTGTAGGGGAGGGACCTCACCCCTACTCATGACACCGGGATCTCAGAGCTCCAGCCTCCAGAATTTTGAGGAAGACAGTTCCTGTTGTTTGAGCCCCCCAGCCTATAGCACTGTGCTGTGGGAACCCCAGAAGACTAACAGAGTGTACGTGGGATGGCCAAAGACAAATGTAGCGTTTCCAAAAAAGGGGCATAAACAACTGTTGGTGCTCCTGCAGGCCATCCATACAGTTAGTAATTCCTACCAGATGAGGTGGGATTCAGAGGTGCTCCCAAAACACCAGCGAAAGAGTAAAGCCAGGGAGCTTCAGTTCAGCAGTGATGAGTTCAAAAGGGGCTGTGAGGGGCAGTGGGGGCATCCCCTGAATTGGCTGTTAGAATAATAGGAAAATGGTGAAAAGTTGTGGTCGGACTGCGTGCTTGTGTATGTATTAAATTATGTAATCTTCGACAATACCCAACAAGGCAGCTCTGATTCCTATTTCTGTTTTACAGGAAAAAACTTAAAGGAGAGAGAGAAAGAGAGAGAGAGAGAAGTTGCCCTAGCTGTGAGGGGAACTAAGCTCAGTAGAGATTGGGTCACCGAAGCCTGGGGCAGTGCTATATGAGCTGGGCAAGACTTGTACCAGCCTGGTGTAAACTCCTCAAGGACAGCAGCCCGTGGGCTGGGAATAGATGATGGGTGCTCCCCTTGAGCTTGAGGGGCAGAGGAGAGAAGTGGGGAGGACAGGAAGCCAAGGGGAGAAAAAACAAGGCAAAGATATTATAAAAAATAGTTCTGTCATGTTAGGGTCGGAAGATTTCTTACAAGACATAAAACCAAAAAGGAGATGAATAAGTGTATTACATTTTAAAACTGCGAAAAACTGCCCTGGCTAGTGTGGCTCAGTGGATTGAGCACTGAACTGCCAAGCAAAGGGTCACTGGTTTCATTCCCAGTCAGGGCACATGCTTGGGTTGCAGGCCAGGTTGCAGTCAGGGCACATGCTTGGGCTGCAGACTAGGGGGCACGCGGGAGACAACCACAGTGATGTCTCTCTCCCTCCCTCTCTTTGTCCCTCCCTTCCCCTCTCTCTAAAAATAAATAAATAAAATTCTGGGCAAAAAATGTGAAAAACAAATGTGCTGAGACAACCCATGAATTTTTAAAAAAGAAAAATGGGAGGAACTATGTGCAAATAAGAGGCAATGGACTCAGAACCATAATTTTGATTGCATAGAAAATGTAAACTATTGCTTAGCAGAGCAGACTCAAGCCCAGGCCTCAGGTCTGATGCCACATTCGGTTCCCTCAGCTCTGCAGTGTGATGGTCACAGCAAAATGGAGACATCGGAGGACCTGCTATAGGTTGAGTGTCTATGTCCCCCTAAAAATGTGTAGGTTGAAGCTCTCTCCCTCCGAGGTGGTATTAGGAAGTGGAGCCTTCAGGTGATTAGGGTTAGATACACATCGAAGCTGAAGAGCATGAATGAGCAAGAACACAAGTGAACAGTGAGCCCTCCCCCCACAGAGAACACACTGGGACAAGGCCCAGGGAACACAGGGCAAGAAGGCAGCCATCAGGTGGAAAGCCCACCCGACTCTGGATTCTGCCAGAGCCTCAGTCCTTGGCTCACCCACCTCCACACCACAGGAGAGAAATGCGCTATTTCAGCCACCTTATCGATGGCTTTTGCTCCATGAGCCGGTCTGAGTCAGACAGTACCTGCCTACTTCAGAAGGTACCGTACAGAAACAGTGCATAAAACCTCATGAGGACCTTACTCTGTGTGTGTGTGTGTGTGTGGGGGGGGGGGGGGTCAAAAACAGAGCTTACCCAGCGTAAAGGGGGAAAAGGCAAAAATCGAAACTAAACCATAATAACTACCTGATCCACAGAGATCATCAGAGTTGGCACTCAGGGCAGCATTCTAATGCTGCTCAGTGTGGCCCTGACAGATGGGGGGTGGGGGAGGGTGCAGGTAGTAAAGCAGCAAGAAGCTGCCTGTGCTCCACCTGGGGAGGGGCCACCCTTGGCCTGTAGCAGGCACCTCAGAAAACCAGTGGTGAGGGAGCTCCAAGTATGTGGGGAAGGGTGAGGAAGGGGCACCTTCCTTCTGGATTTGTTGTAACCCCAAAACCCATTTTGTCTACATCTGATGGGGTGAAGAGAAATGGCACTAAGCCCTGTATAGTGAGTGCTAGGTGCAATTACAATAACAGACAAATCTTGCTCCAAAAGGCCATCTTGGGTAAAACACATTGTGTTTTACCACAGCTGTGGACAGTCTCCATGACACAGTAGCTTCAAGTAAGAACCAGAGATTAATATAATATTTTACATCAACTGGATTTTTTTTTTCAGGGGAGAGCGTGAATGCAGTCCCCCCCCACCACAAATCATGCGGTAGAGTTTCCCACACTCGGGGGAATCACAGGGGTGAGCCCATCTGGAGTGCAATGGGTGAGCCTTGTCTTGGGAAAGCCACCTTCATGATGGTGATATCTCCCCTGCCAGGTAAGTATCAACTGGAATTTTTTTTTTTAAGTAGAAAGAAAGGAAAAAAAAAAAAAAAAAAGAACCAGAGACTCAGGTTTGGTGTTTAGAAGAACCCCTGAACCCCAAGGACATTAAAGATGGCTATCTATATTTTAGTCTTTGCCTCTAGAAGTGGTGACTTTTACTAACATGACCTAAAGTGCAAATGTGTGTGGGCCACCTGTGAGGGCAGGTGAGGCACATGCTCTCCAGATCCCCTTCGCCTTGGCATTCACAACCCTGCGCTTAGGTGCAAGATTTGGCCCAGGATTCTGGCCCTGTGCTTGGGGAAGAAACACACTCCTATGTGGCCAGTAGCACCATGGCACACCTGCTTCAGCCTATGGGGAAGCCATGAGAGGGGGGCCCGAAGTGGAGCTCGGCTGGGAGAGACCCTAGCGAAAGGGGATCGGCACCTTCAGCTGACAACTGTGGGTTGGCGGGGACCTCGGAGTTCAATCCCTGACCCTACGCCCAACAGCAAATGTGCACGCACATGCCACACACGCACTGCCATGGTATACACACACAAAAAGGCATACATCACACACGTAATCTGCCACACAGCAGACATGCACACACATATATCACATGCCATCACCACACATCTACACGTGTACAGATGCACATGTACACGCACCACACACACACACACACACAGGGTGCACCCCATGCCTTCCTAGGCTCTCCTTACCTGGGCAGGTGCTCTCCACAAGCGCTATCTCCTGGCAGGGCTGGAGTTCTGGCACCTGCAGCTCCTCCCGTCTTCCTCTTTCTTCCACCAGGATTGGCTGGAGACTTGGAAAGTCTTTCCAAAGAAAATGGAAAATTGAATTTGTCGTGCAGCTGCAGTGCTACCTAGGGAGCCTCTTAACAGATGCCAGACCATGACCCAAGGGTAGCCCCTTAGTCAGTGTTTGTAGATAAAGTGAATTTGTAGACAAATGGCCGACACCACAGACACAGGATCTGAAGCTAAATGGCATTGGTGTGGGTTCTGGTTCCGTCCTGTCTACGTGACTATGAGTGAGTGCCTGCCACCCTTATGGTCATTTCCACTTCTGTGGTGGGATTTCTCAGGCCCCAGTGCTCTTTGCAGGGGAACAGGCTGCAGAGCCTGCTGGGGCAGACAAGACATGGATCAGGCCTCTCAAGAGGAGGGGCCATTCTTTCTTTGAGGAGTCAGGGTAGAGGCAAGATATGTTCTACCAAGACAGTCTGGATACACAGAGGGATGCAGAGCCGGCAAGGAGTGGCCCACCTCCGGCCAGTCGCACCTACCACTCCACTCTGTCCACCCAGTGGTAGAATCGCAACTCACCCAAGTGGGAGACCTGGGTAGCATCCTTTCCCTGCAGGTCCTGCAGCTCTGGAACACGTGGCTCATTCTCCTCTCCCTGGGAAAGGTCCAGTTGGGCTGCTGGGTCATCTGTTCACAGAAAAGGAGAGGACACGTCTCCCTCAGGGACCTAGAGGGACCCAGGACAGGCCACAGCAGTGAGAGGACCGTGCAGGGTTTCAGAAAGGCTGGAACAGGCAGGGAGGGTAGATGCTGTGGGCTTGGAACAGCTCTTCCAGGCCCATGTATTAATTATGGGAGCCACACGTGAAGAGGCGCAGGATCAGAGAGAGAGAATAGCAATACAGAGGAACCTGTTATGTTTGGTTTTGTATGCAAAACAGCCAGCAAGCCTAATTTACAGGTGAAGCCTCCTCTGCTAAGTGCGCTTGGGGCCACTGAGTGCAGGTAACCTCCCATCAGCATTGGGGGGTGGTAAGCAAGACCAGATGCAGGCCCCCCATGTCCCTGGTCTCAGGAGAGGGCCAAAGGACATCTTACTTTGAGGCAGCGAGACCCCACAGTCCTCTCCGATGATGAACTCCCCATAGAAGCCAGTCTGAGCAGGATCTAGAAGGGACCAGTCCTCTTCCGAGAAGCAGAAGATCATGTCCTCGAAAGGTGAAACCCGCTTCTGAAATCACAGGAGAACACGGATGCCTCAGTCCAGGGATAAGCTGGGGCTGAGGGTACGCACACCCCTGTGATGTGCATGTGATAGGAAGCATGCACAGGGCTGCTCCCTGGGTCTGGCCAATTCTGAACTGAGAGGACTCACCAGTGGCCAGAGGTGTGCAGAAAAAGGTCTGCTGCTCAGTGCTGCCAGCACACACGCACACAGTCCCAGGTCTACAAGAGGACTGTGGCCATCGTTGTCACTTGGGCGCCCTGCCAGTGAGGCGATGCTTCATTTTTAGAGTTTGTCTGTACAAGCCCCTTCACGACAGCATTGATGATCATAGATAACAGGCTGAAGACGAGCTCTCTCTGCCCATCAGCAGAGCGGTGACTAAGCCCAAGACATCCTACCAGGCCGAGCACTCCTGTGGGAAGGAACGTGGGCCTCTCTGCACTGAGGAAGCCCTTCAAGGTATGGAAAAAACTCTAGCTACCTCTGAATATAGCTTGAAATGTCATCATAGCAGTTTCATATGTTTTTAAATGTTGAACTTCTGTTTAAGGTTTATGCACATACATCTACGTAGGTCCAGTTAATTGACCTAAACTGATGTGTAGGATTTCAGTGTGGTGATTTTACCCATTTCTTTGTCACTAATGTTTAGGTTTTTCCCAGTACAGATGTTTTTTGACCCAGATAGGGCTTTATATCCCAATAAACTGTTGTAAATTGAAAACATCCTGAGTCGGAAATGCATGTAACACCACACTGCAAAGAATGGGCTGCTGGTCCTTGGGCTCATGTGGCTGATCGGCTGCGCTCACTGTACTTCCCAGAACCATGAGAGAGCATCCTTCTGCACATGGCTTGCCTGGAAAAACATCTAAATGCGAAATTTAAAGTATGATTTCTACTAAATGCCCATCATTTTCCTACCACGGTAGCTCGGGACTGGCTGTACTTCGCTGTAGCCAGCAACAGTTCAGTGAACTCGCATCTGTCTCCCCACACGTGCAGTGCATTTCCGGGGCAGGAGAGTTACTGACCACTGGGGAAACGTGCGCACTGACAGGAAGCACTGCCTCCGCCAGCACTGGGGCCGTCCAAGGCCGAAGAATCGGGCTTCTCTGCAGGAATGCAACATGGGCCCCACACTCATGGGGCCACCCTTCCCTTGATGAAAATCCCTTTATGGGCTCACCAGCCAATGAGCTTTGTTCTTCTTTGAGACCTTTGTTCATAGTCTTTGCTCATTTTTCTATTTTCTAATGGTTGCTCTTCCTATTTTTTAACCAGCTTGTTTTAAATTGTAGATATACCTCATTAATCAGCAGTATTAGCAAGATAGACAAACTGCAAGAAAGTGTTTACCAAATCAGAACGGTGACAATTTTGATTAAAAAGCTTCAAAATCAGAAATGTGGTTTTGGAACAAAAATAGACCAACACAAAAGAAAAGTAAAAGTCCAGAAACCAAATTTGGTACACATAAAAGTTTAATCTACAAGAAAAAATACAGCCCTACTAACCATTGGAAAGAAAAATAACTTTTGTTTGATATAGTTGGTTGAATGTATCTGATATAGTTGGTTGACTATTCAGAAATAAAACTAGATTCTGATCCTTGTTCACAACTATTACAAAAATAAAAACCCTATTATATATATCAAAAGGAAAAAATGGCTATCAGAAATTAAAAATAGAGGGGGACCATAAGAAGAGCAACAGGCAGATGTTCACACAAAAACTACAAATGCCTACAGTAATGCAACAGCACGAGGGAGACTGAACGGCCAGCGACACAGAGAACAGACATACACACCAATGAGAGGTAGAGAGGGAGGACTCAGGTACACGGAGCCCTTAGGACATGAGGAAGAACCTTTATGTCAATGAAAAAAGAAGAGCAAGAGGGCAAGTATTAAAATATATGAAAGGGTCAAATTCATTAGTATATAAAATATGAATATAAAACACTATTATCTTTTTTTAGATTTTATTTATTTATTTTTAGAGAGAGAGAGGAAGGGAGGGAGAAAGAGAGGGAGAGAAACACCTCAATGTGCAAAAGAATCATCAACTGGTTGCCTCTTGCAAGCACCCAGCTGGGGATGGATCAAACCTGAAACCCAGGCATGTGCCCTGACTGGGAAGCGGCCTGGTGACCCTGAGCCACCCCTGGTCAGGGCTAAAATACTATTATCAATTATTGCTCTGATAAAGATTAAAAAAGAAAGGTGATGAAATTTCAACAATGATCTTGTCACTATACAAAAATATGTATTAGAAACATTTTAAACGCCTTGGCCTAGAAGCTAAAATTCCCACAACCCAATCAGAAAATCCTCTGGAATCTTCAGGAAAGCTACTTGTACTAATAAGTAAAATTAACAAAATTTCTAGATAGAAAGTCAATATAACAAAAACCAATTGTATTCCATTTTTTCTATATAAACAACTAGATGATGAATTTTTTTTTAAAAAACGACCATTTACAATAGCATCAAAAACCATGGAATTCTTAGGAAAAGTGTTTATAAAACATGTTCTTCAAATGAAGACTGAGAACAAAGAAATGAAGGATTTAACAAGCTTTCAATGTGGCCCACCACATGCTATAGATTCAGTGCAATCCCAAGCAAAAACTTCAGGAAGATTCTAAAATGTATATGGACAAGCAAAGCACTTAGAAGCAGCCCAAAGAATTTTGAAAGCTGGAGAACTCACAGTAACCAGCCTCAAAACATACTATCATTACAGTGATATTGGAGTAAAGAATAAAAACAAAGCTTAATTGAGGTTGATTGGACCCAAATTCTCAGACATGTGTGGACAACTGATTTTTGACAAGAGTGCCAAGGAATTCAAAAGGCAAAAGGAAAGTCTTTTCAGTGAATGGCGACAAACAAGCAAATATCAACATGGGGGCAGGGGGAGAGAAAGGAACCCTATGCCTTGTGTCACATGCAAAAAATAACTTCTACAACTATAAAACTTCCCAAAAAAATTCTTTGTGAACTTGAGGTAGA